CAAAACTGCAAGACAAAGTTCATCAAGGTTTTTTCTTATTATAAAAAGAATAGAAACCGATTGAGAATGATGAATGATTTTACATTACAACAAGAGCAATGTCTTCACGATCTAAATCGTCTATGGACAAAGGCTAAGGATGGAGATTTAGAAAATCTATGGAGTGTGAAGGAATATCATACTTACATCAATGGATATACCATTCCAACCGGCACCGCCGGTAGGAATTACGCCATGCCGACAACCTTCCATTTCGCACTCTATGAGGTGCCTTGGAATCGCAAAATCGCAGTACCAATAGAACCGAGGGACTTGCATGGAATGCAGCATGATATAACATCCTATTTGTGTAGGCAGATAGACATCCGGGAGAAGGTTATGGATGAGCAGATTTTCAAGTTGGCCGATGAGTCCAACCCTAAGCAGCAAAAGCACGGGGCAGAGTTGGGTGGCGCTGGAACGTCGGGTGGCGCTGGAACGTCGGGGGGCGATAACCCAGGTAGCAAGCCAGGTGACAAGCCAGTTAAGAAACCAAAGGAGTCTGCTTTTCCGTGTGGCAAATTGTCCAAAGAGCAACATGACGCGGGCATTAAGGAGATAAACCAGGTAGTCAACGCGGGAGCAGGTACCAAAGAGCACAGGTGTTTCAAGTTCAGCTCGCATTCTGGTTGCCCAGACAAGAAGTCCTGTCAATTCCAGCATGAATTCATCAAGCCCGAGGAATATGCAAAGCTCGGCCCATTCGGAAGGTGTATATTTATACGCTTCGGTGGGCATTATGACGAGGAGCCCATTGAGCCAAAGAATGTGCAGGGTAATCTGCAGGCAACACTGAATATGGCAGGGTCGCCTCCGAAGGCTGGGAAGGAGCCGGAACCAGGGTCGCCTCCGAAGGCTGGGAAGGAACCGGAACCAACGGATCTGGATGCGGCAGGGGACCACCTACTTGAAGCCCCATTGCTCCAACTAAACACGCAGGCAGCCGAGCCACCGGCACCCGATAAGGACGCCAGCGTGGTGGTTGGCGTGCGCGCTGACGACGCGCATACAAAGCGTGTTAGGGAGTTGTCCGTCGATAAAGCGTTAGCGAGGTTCACAGGCAGGCACGGACGAGCAGGCACTTCCAATTTTTGGATTCTGGAGGAGGAAGTGCCTTCGGGGCGATATTGGAAAAAAAATCCAGAAAAAACCCGTTGGGCAACCCTAATCCTATGACAAAATAGGGGGTGTTGGCCGGCCGCCACGCCCGACTCGCTGCGGGGGAGCAGAGAGGTTCCCCCCAACGTTCCCCCAGCCGGGACGTTTCAGCTGACTTGCAGTCAGGCATTTTCGCGCTACAGAGAGCGTTCAGCGCATAGGAGATGGTAACATTTCCCAACCACCTAGGAGGCGGTAGCGTGACGTTTGTCTCAGTCTCAATGCGGATAGGCGCAGTGTGCGCGCCCGACAAGTTTGACTTTAGGCAGCGCCTGCGCGAGCTCGGGTTTGTCGAGGACGTCAAGCGGTTTGTCGTGATCCTCCCAGACCATAAGCGAGCGCGTTTGATTGCCTGGCTGGCAGAGGTACGCGAGCATCGCAGTGCTCCGCGTGAAGAGTTCAACCGCCTCGTCCACACGTTGGTGTCGGTGGCGTTTGTCATTCCGCGTGGCAAGTAGTTCCTTAGCAGGTTCTTCAAGGTTCTCTCTCAGCGCTGGGGAGCGCCTTACGGGCGCCGGGGCGACAGGGTGAAGCTCCCATCCAATATCATTGAGCACCTAGACTGGTGGATCAAAGCATTGAGGGAATCGCCCGGCCGTCGGATAATGGCGACAGCCAAGCGGCACTTGAAAGGACCGTTGCTTTCGTGGATGAGCGACACCTGCCGCTGTCTGGATGAAGGGAAACCTTCAGGGGCCGGCGGGTTCCTGCCGCTGGGCCCAGGTTATTATTGGTCGGAAGTTTTTGACGATACCGTGGTCAAATGGCTGAATATCGCGCACTTGGAGTGTTACGGGGTATGTCACTAACATCTGTGGCAGGATTTCCGCCTTGCGGCAACTGAGGACAAGCTGATTGGCACTGCATCGCCGACGGAGCCCCACAGAGAATCGAAGGGTTTGAGCTACGTGAGGAATCATCATTCTCTTCTGAGATGGTACGGTCGGAGGCACCTCAAGTCATGACTGCCAACTCACAAAACCAAGATGCTTCAAATGAGTAAGATGCAGAAG